AAAAAACAAAAAAATTGTTTAGTGTCATTAATAAAACAAAAAATTTTTGGAAAAATACCCAAGCAAAGGACATAAAATTTTTTAAAAAATGAGATGTGATAAAAAAAAAATATAAATATTTAATTAAGGTTTATGTCATTGAATATATTCTTCCAATGTTTATACTCATTTTTTTTTTAAAAAAAGAGTACTAAATAATTTATTTCAAATATAACGGGGTTACATGTCAGAGCAATTTCAAATTATACTTTATAAATAAAACTACTTTTCTGCATTATCATTTTTATCATATGTAAAGATTGATTAATTTAAAAACTTTATTTAGATAAAAATTGCCTGTATTTAAATTTAAAAATACTCTAAATCTCGAAAGAGTAGAGAACTAGTATCAAACTAGTATCATTTGATAAGCAAAACGTATTGTTTAAAATAAAACGAACATTTTAAAAACTTAAAAATATTGCATAGCATTAATTTTAAAAAATTAGATAATGAATAAAAAATTAAATCTTATGGATAGTAAATATATATATAATTTAATGTAATATATTCTGTAAAACGTATCCATTAGTAGTTAAATGTTTTTGCCTGAATTCATATATTCACCGAATCTATCCTAAGAATGTTAAATTTGTTTTAACTTTTCCTAAACTTTTATTTTAATTTTTATTTGACATTATAACCTTCCACTTTTCTCTTGACTACCAGTGAGAATGCTGTTACTTTAAAAACGCGAAAGAGGTACTTTTAATACTTTAAAATTCTAAAAGAAATCTTAACGCTTCTGAATTCTAAAATGTCTTTTCAACGATATAATCATTACATATCTTTCTTTTTTCTCTTTAAAAAATGATGATGGTGTTTATAGCTTGTCATTTGTCTTCTTTTTCAAAAAGAAAGCAAAGTGCTTCATAACGTATAATGCTTTTGCTACCCGTCAAATCTTATGAAATATCTCCACAGTTTTCACGAATTGCTTCTTTCAAGATTGATGACTGTAACTTTCTTTTGAAGATTTCATTAAAAGTTTTGGCCTCAAATCATTTGAAGTGTTCTGGATATTGCCATATATGTGTAATTTTTTTTTGTTCTTATTTAAAAAAGCACATTCTTAAACAAGAAATTAAAATATTTTTTTATTTAAGAAATACTTCAGATTTTCAAACATTTTAAAATAAAGCTAAAAGTGAAATATCAGGAGAGATAACCTTTAGTGAAGATACGTCTCACTTATATTATTTTGAGTTCTCAGTTAGGCACATTTATTATACAAACATTATTTCAGTCTAAATTTATTTCTTCTAAAACTGCTTGATATATGGTGTAAATAAAATAATCTCCGATAAATTCACAAACTAAAGACCACGTCTGTTAAGAATTGGAGAAACATTTTCCCTATTTTGTAACAATCCTATTTTTTTAAAAATTTAAATCGCTTAGATATATAAAATGCCCTCTAAAAAACTGAAGGGCTTGAAAAAAATCATAAAAAAACACATTTATTCATTTTCAATCTTTTTTTATATTTCATTTTTGTAGGCTACAGAACAGCTCTCGAAGATTAAAAAGGTTATATATTATCTTCAAAGACAAATATAACCCATTCAATTTTTTTTTATTCTGTTGAACAAATTAGCAAAACCCAGAGGAAATAGCAATGGTATCAGCCTTATTTGACGACACAGAATGCCAAATGTCAAACATGAAGAAAGATCGTTAGGGCAATCCTCTGGTTGTGCATCACATTCTTTTAATAAAGGGTATCACATTCTATTCGAGAAAAGAAAGATAAATCGGGAATGTGAGTGTGAGTGAGTGATTTTGAGGTTTAATGGCGCAAGGGCCAATTCTGGCCAAACTGCGCCAAACATTAGTTAAAATATTAAAAACATTTCATAAAATAAGTAAAAATATACTGACAATAGTTTCAAAAAAGGTTAAAATATCAAATCACATATAAAAATCATTTTCAAATGATAAAAGCTACCATAATTTGGTGGGGAATATTCCCCACCAAGTCAGAAAATTTTTTTAAAAAAAAAAACAGACAAATGAAAAAAGTGAATTTAACAAAATTTAAGCAGTAAAGGATCAATCGGGAAACTCAGGATTTTAAATTTGGTACCATTGTGAGAAAGATAAACATCTGAGTGACTTATAATAAAGCTTGGTAAAAAAAAAAAGGACAAGTTTTTTATTTGTTCTGTGGCTAACGTTCTTGAAATATGTGGTGAATAGCAATTTAAGTAACTTCAATGCAAATAATAATAAAACAAATCAAAATTAATGTAATATTGGCTGAATTTTCCATCATTAAATTCTCCATTCCTACTTTACCGCCACACAAAAAATTTCTAATCGAACTATTAGAACTCTAAAAATTTGAATATTAAAAACACAAATGTTTTTATTTTCTATTTGTGAATTTCAATATTTGTGTAGTTATCTCTGATGACACATTGTATTTTCTTAATTTTAATATGCATTATAGAAAGACACGTCAATTTTTTTTCTGTTTTCGAAAAAGCATTTTAGTTTTGTTTTTTTTTCACTGAAAAGATTAAAAATAGGTAATTAATACGTTTCCAATTTACATTACAAAAGCTATGCAAGGAAAGTAATACGTTTTTAAAAACTGTAAAGATTATGAATAGGTAATTAGTACGTTTCTAATGCATATTACAAAAGCTATGCAAGGAAATTAATAAATTCGAACAACTGATGTAGGAAGAATTCATTTGAAATTAATTGATTATTATCAATGTCCATATCAAGCAGCTCAATGATATTCGTTGCCTCAACAGTCCCAACTAATTGTAAAGCGTCTACTCTAAATAAATGTTTATTCAGTTCGTTACTAGGTAACAAAGGTCTTTTAAATCCTTTGTGATTGAGAACTTCAAAGCCGCATTTCAAAGAACTTTTATAATTCAAATATACAAAAGAATTCCTAATTGAAAGGAATAAAATTGGTTTGCACCTAGAATAAGCCACATCATTAAAAGTAATGATGATAAGGCGGATGTTTCAAAAGGAGATTCAAGAAGATATTTATGTAACATAATTACTATGAGGGGTTATTTAAACGAAAAAGCATTCATGAGGAAACACATAGACGGTATATATAAAAGATTACAATTTGTGAATAAATTTTTGTTAGATGAATTCCTCGATACTATTAATAGATTTAGGAAAGGTTTTTCCAGAGGAAAATTTTAAAAAACTGCATTCAATGAAGCTCTTTGAGAAATTAACTAAAATAACTCAACTTATTCATGGTATTAAAAATTCACTCATTGAACGCTTCAAAAATATATTTGATTAGATTTTAGTTAATAATTAAAAGAGAGAGAGAATTCAGCTTAAAATGCGATTTTATTTAAATTATATCACATTATCTTAAATCTAAAATTTTGAATCATATCAGAAATATGAAAATTGGAAGCTCGAAATATCGATTTATCAGTTATAAAATTGCATTTTAATATTGTATTCAATAAATGAGTTTTAAAAAAAAATCCTAAATTTTTCATAAATCGGAATAATTTTATTCAGTTTAAAGAATAATTTCATAGTAATTTGATTATCAATAACAATATTAGCCTTGTTCGAATAAAACAGTTTCATAGTTAGGTTTGAGTTCTAAATATCTGAAGATAAGCAAGGTTTGAAAAACTTTTCAACGGTGTTGAAATCGAAGATTTTTCTAACAAGGGAGAGGGCACGACTAAAGAAATTCATTTGGGGACGAGACTTGGTGTAATAGTGGTACTTCTTTAGGGTGTTCAAACCTCAATGAAATAGCACCGAATGCGCAGTCATTCATTTTATACAATTAAGTTTCAATTAGCTCCAGCTATGCGTTAACGTAAGTGTTAATGTATCTGCGTATTACGCAGTCGGATAGGGTTCGAGGCGCACGAACAACTCCCCTCCCCAATTCATTTAATTAGTTCTACAATTAAATTAATTTTTTTCAAAAAAGGCTTATTAAATATTTTACATAACTATAAAATTAGTAAATTAATTGTATACATTATATATATGTACATTATTTAATAAAATTAATTATAAAATAATTAATATAATAAAAAACTGTAGTATATTTATAAAGTATAATATAAATATTTATATAATTATAGTAATTCTTTTTTTTTTGAAATACAAAATAATTATATAAAGTATCCTTTACTACTTGTTGTTGTTGTGTGTTATTATCTTGGGATACATATGAAATACAAGTAGAACAATAGAAACATACAATACAAACAGACGAATATAGATGTTTATTACAAATGATGATCCCAGCATATAACAGAAAGGGGGTGCGTTGCTTTCCGTTTGAGACAAAAATCCATTATAGGCGAAAGTCCGACTTCTTTTCCCGAAGAAAATACATCCATGCCTTGTGACGTCTCTCGCGTATTTCTGATTAACATGACTCCTATGTTCTTTGACGGCCACGATTAAAGGCAAAACTTTTCCAACCCAATACCAAGAAGAGAAACGGATCGAATATGTAAATGAGATATACTATAAAAGGATAGCGTGGCAAGCTTAGATATAGCGTAGCAGGCTCAGAGATTGTATTGTGGAATTATTCTGATCGATAGAGTGACAAAGCTTAGTGTGAAATCTTGAGGATCAAGAATTAGCTGCCTTGCGGATCAAGAATCTTCATATATAAAGTTTATAGATAATATTCTCTAGGTCCAGGAACCAGAACTGAAAAAGGTAATTTAGGATATAAGTAATTAGATAAACAGGATTATTTAGGATAATTGAGATAGAGGATCTAGTTGCGTGATCTGACTTAAATACGTGATTTAATTTGGGCTTGACTCTCACTCTAATTAAATTTGTCAAATTAGAATTTAAGTATTATAAGTTACTCTTAATAAAAGTTGTATTAAGAATTATGTCTCATCATTTTGATAATCCCACACCTCTAGCTTACGCGGAACCGGCAAGACATGGTCATCACAGGATGGTTATGTCTCAGCCTTACTCGGGATTCGAACCCGAACCCACTCGGTTACAAGCCGAGGGTCCACCATTCTGGCTATACGGCATTTAATAATTAATAAGTCTTTTTTTAAATAAATTTATTGTAAAAATAATTAAATTAATTGAAAAAAATTGATCTCGCGCGATTCGAACCTTATCTGACCGCGTGGTATGCAGGTACGCTACCACCTATGCTACTACACTGCTGTAGCTGAGTCAAATTTAATTGTATAACCGATAAGTATGAATTTCGAAGGCTATTTTCTCCGAACTGACTGGTCATTCGGCGTTATTACATTGAGGGTTGAACACACTCTAAAGCAGGGATATTCAACCTGCGGCTCACCAAGACTTTTTAAGTGGCCCGATCATGACCCATTGCTCTAAAAATTTATTTGCTTAGGAACACTGAATTAAAAATTTGGTGGGAAATTCTTTGTCAAGAAATCAAATATATCAATTTTGCTTTTTTGCTGTCAGTCTCGTATGGGTACGAATTGATATTCTTTTTCTTTTTGGAACGGTTACGATTAGTGAAAACAGATAATAGTGGATTAGCGACAATTTTATGTGGGTGGAACTAATTTTTAACTACCTTCCCATCTTGCAAGCGAAAAAAAATTTGAAGAAAATATATCGTTTCAAGACGATTGAGAGGTTGACTATTTTGTAGTGAAAAACATACATGGATCAGTAATTGTTTGATTTGTCACGAAAGAACTGTATTTAAAAAATACCAATAAACAGGTATCTCCTTCAATTACATTTTTCCTCGAATATCTCTTTCAAGAGGTTATAAATAGGCTTTCTTGAGTAATCTTTGTAACAGCAACAAAGTGCTTTGTCAGTGGTAATATCACAGCGGTAACAAAGACATCCTATAAAGTTTGTTATATTATTGGTAAGCATATAAAACCGTTTACTGATGCCGAAATTGTGAAGGAGTGTTTTTTAAATGCTTCTAATTTAGTGTTAGTGACACAAATAAAAATAATAAAAAATAATAATTAAAAAAAAAAGCAAAACAGGACTTATAATATTTTGATCAATTTTCCACATTTTAAATTTCCAATATTATTTTGGTCTTAAAGGATTTCTCCTCCCTCCCCCATTTATCCTTTTGTTGCGGCCCGCGTGAAGTAACTAACATATATATGCGGCCCAGCAAAAACAAAAAAAAAAAAAGGTTGAATACCCCTTCTCTAAAGGAATACTACTATTACACAAAGTCTCGTCTCTAAAAGAATTTCCTTAGTTGTGCTCTACTCTTGTCAGTGAACCTTCTTAAGCAAGCTGAAAGGTTCTAAATCGATTTGCTAAATGGATCGATTTTAATAAAATTAATCGAATTAATTTTTGTAGTGTTTTGTGTATGCTGAGTTTAATATGCATTTACATGAAACGCTAATATGAATTAAAAAATTGTGCATAATTTAGGTTTTGAAAGCTCACTTTTTGCATCTGCTAGATAATCTAAAAAATGAAATAAGCTTTAAAAAAAGTATTTATTTGTTGCCCTATCCGTATAACATAAAAATAGTATTCACAAAAAATGAAAATAGAAATGTTTAATACAAATCCATTCCATGTAAATGTTTCAAGTATTATTTTACTTAACTCGCTGTTGACAGTTTTGGTGGTAAAGGACTGGTAATCCTTTCATTGATTTCCTTCTGTTTTAGAAAAAATAGATGATGGTATTTATTTTCTTTGTGTTTTCTATCTGAAGCTAAGTTTTTATCTTTCGGCCTTTTTTATCGATTTTTAGTGGTGCTATAAGATAAGGTGTTACGATTCGATTATTGCTATAAAAACGTCCTTTCAACCTTGTACGTCTCTGAAATTGCCATTCCAGTTAAGCAAGTAAACTTTTAGATAAATAAATATTTTTAAGAAATTCAGATGGTTTGAGTTTAAAAAGAAAGGTAGATGATTTTTAATAAGTCAACACAAATGATTTTATATTTGACCCGAAAAAGATTTCAGCAGATTAATTTTGAACATGATTAACTAAACAAAAAGCGTATTTTCTAATATTTAATTATGCATTATTCTATCAATTCTTGAACAGTCCTATTTTTTGTCCTGTTCGCGTTGTTCAACTACGTATGTATCTTCAAATAAAACATAAAATTTATTTTAATTCTTTAAAATTTTCTAATTTAGAGTAAATATAAATTAGAAATATTAGAAGTAATTGAATCAGTTTTATACAATATGAAAAAAAGAATGCAAATATAGATACATAGAAACAGAAATAAATGACAAAAATATTTTAATAGACATAGAGTAAACATTATAATTGATAGATTGAAAAAAGAAAATGTTTAAAATAAATTTATTGAAATAAAATTAATGAAAGATGATTCATGTAAATTTAAATGATTTCGCTCATTTCCAAATGTATTCTTACAATATTTGAATATATTAAAGTTTTTATTCAATTATTATCATCGTACAATTTTTGTTGCTATTTAATTTGATAAATCAGCTGCACTTTTTTCACGACAAACAATCATATCGCTTAAAAGCAAAACAGACCTATTTCTATTCAGAAACAGAGGAAATCAAACACATAATTCTAGTTTATGTTCTTTCTTTTTCTTTTTTTCTCATCTCATTAAGACTTTATTCTACGACTTATTTTACAGTATTCTTATCGGCCAACTAAAATTAATATATTCTCATAATGCCGTTAACACTTAGCCAATTTAACACCCTAAAGGAAATTCAGCAATAATTTTAAGAAAGAAAACCAGTAAATTATAAACAATTCTCCATTGCTTATATCTTTTGCTTATTCCATTAATGTAGTTCTACGGAAAACAAATAATTTAAAAGAAGGTGTATTTTCTAAAGTTAAAGCAACACTTTGAGTTAAAATTGTCTTTTTTACAAACGGTTTCATTTTCTTAAAATATCTCTTAAACAATTATTATTATTACTGTCCGTATTATGATTTACTTACCGTAAAATCCGGCGTATAACGCGCTCTTTTAACACAAAAAAATGAGATCGAAATTTACGGATGCGCGTTATACGCCAGGTATAAAAATGACAGCTTCAAAAATAAAAAAAAAAGAGATGAGAAAAAAAAAATTTCTACCTGGATCAGAATACTATATATTTTGCAGTGTCGATTTAAGCTCATTTCGCACCCTGGGCGTAGAAAACCTACAGGCCCCCTTGGCACTGGCGGATAGAAATTTATAACTAGAAAATGGGGTTAAGTCCAGCTTATCCGGGCACCTAGGAGCCTAGTGGATAAACCGGCACTACATATCAGAAAGAAATGTGACATACCTAATGAAGTTAAAGGGTTCTGATTCTAATATTATACTATTTTTTTCAAAATCCTGGAATAATGACTCGAATAAATGACTTAAAAACATACGAGCATTGTACACGCACACTTCTGGTTTCTTTGTAAAAACAGGGGTTGCGCGTTACCTGGCGAATATACCTAAAGATTTAAAAATGCTGCTAGAAAGTATGGGCGCGCAGTATACGTTGGATTTTCCGCGATAATCCTTTCTCTAAATAATAAAAATGTCTATTTCACGTTAGGCTTGCTTTTTTCATGAAATGTCTTTATTTATTAATATTTAATATAATTTAATAGGAAAAATACTGTCAGCCTATACATGTATATCGGGATTTTCTCTGGAAGCAAACGTGTTGATAGTACATCTTTATCTGGTAGCAGTCCATTTATTGAAGATACATATATTAATTTAGTTCCACATTTTATTGACAAACACTAAGCGAAAAGTAACTCACACGGACGTATGGCAGAGGTCAAAAGCGATCTTTTCCACATTCCAGAGATCTCGGCTTTTATACCTTTCCTTATCGGAAACTTCTTGGATGTTCTTAAATCATAGGGTTTCCCGTATTTAATACGCTAATTGGTTAGACTTGATGTCTGATGTAAGATTGCATCCTCTCACAACGTGGCAATTTTTTTGGAGATAAATGTAATGGTTGAAACGGTATTTCTCGCGTTAGGCGGGTAAACGAAAATAATTGAGAGGGTTCAAAATTATTATAAATGAAAGAAACCCATCAAAAGAAAATTTAAATACTGAATTATTGTGTGTGTGTGTGTGTGTGTGTGCGTGCATATTAAGACGAAATAAGTGCTGCAGAAAATTTCATAACAACTTAATGCAAAATTTGCCGAAACAATTAAAGGATATCTCTCTTATTTCACAAGTGAAGCTATTAATATTTTCTCCAAAATCCTAAATAAACCTATCGGGTATCGCTGACAATAATTATCGCGCACTATCATGTCAAATCAGAACCTGTCACGTGTTGACATCAGTCGGTGGGATTTCAGAAAAGTAGGGCAGGAGAATTAATTACATGGTGGGGCTCAAATATCCATGATTTATCAAGACTTATCTCCTCCAACGGAAGGGGAAGTCCCGGTAGAAAGGAAGAGGTAATGCCGGCCATTTGTTACTTCTCTTGACGTCCAAGGCTTCTGAAGATCAAACGCCTCGTTCGAAACGAGGTCGTCTTTATGTAAGTCAAGGGAAGGAAAAAAAGTCTTTTAAGATTTTTTTTTTTTTTTTTTTTTTTACTCGTCTGATAACGCATTGAGAAAATTACAAGAAAAAATGACTTGATTTAATTTCAATGAGTTTGATACATATCACTTAAAATAAGGATTAATTATGTTTCTCGCATTACAGCAGCTCTAAGACGGTAATAAAATTAATATTTATCTTAAAAATACAGCTTTTTTGTACAAGTATTAAAAAATTGAAATGCGTGTTAATTGTTCGAGATCATTGCTTTGAAAAAAATATTTCTTATGAGTGGCAGTGTGTGCTGAAAAATATTTTTTTTCCCAATGGACTGCATATTAGCAACTAAACCCGACAGACACGACAAATTTCTAAAATGTGAGATCCATTTCAGTGGTGACATCATCTAGTGGTGGATCTCGCTACAAAATTTAGACGATTGAATGAATTTAATTCAAGCTGTCGAAGGATGATGAATATTGCAGCGATTTAATTTTGCCGAGAGTACCAGAGAGCCACGTTGGAACTC